GGACAGAAGAGACTACAAAATTGGCCAAGTAAGCAGGGCCACGGAATCAGCAAAGCATAAAAATTTCAGTGACAGCCTGGGACTTGGAGGGTTAGGTACAGACGTCAGAGCTGGGTTATTATGCCAGAATCTGAGAACTGAAGATGAAAGGAGGCCCAAACATTGCAAGAGTCAACAGGGAGGGACTCAGGATGATCTTCCAGCTAGAACAAGCACTACTACTGTTCACGGCTTCTTTGAAGTTCTGCTTAGGGTGTGGTGTGTAGCTCAGTGTAACAAACCTGGACACAAACACATAGAAATTTCACTTCTGTATTTTGGAAAGAGATCTAGTGTGGGATGTGATAAAGCAGGCTTGTTAAACAAATAACACCCAAACTCAAACTGTCCTGTAGAAACACCTGATTTTAGATTTTAAATGTTAGAAGGTAAATGTAAGGAATTTACTTCCTCACAAGGTCAAACAAAAGGCCCAATTTTCAATAAAAATTCTTACATGAGTGATTTGAAATTAACTAAGAGAAAGCATAGGCATTCAAATATATATGTTTTTTTTTTTTTTGGTAAGACAGGTGGTAAGACTATAATAGCTCAATAAATTGCGAAACACCTCTCCCACCTTTTCTTTCTCTCTTCACTCCTTTCCTCTTTAACTATTAAAGTTTTAATAAACATGTAAAACAAAGTCTGAAATAAAGATATCGTTAGTCCAACTTGCTAAGGGACTATATATTTCAGGGTTAATTTTCAGCATTAAAAAATAAAAGGGAAAATTAATTTTGATTTCAAAATTTAAGTAGCCATTACATTATATTTTGAGTTTAAAATTATGATTAAAAATAATAATTGTGCTTATTTATGGGGCGCAATGTGATGTTTTGATATATACATACTTTCTGAGTTTGTTTTTCGAGTATTGTTCTTAATCTTCTTTTGTCATGGATGACTTTGTTAGGTGAACCCTAGGGATGCTTCAAAGAATAATTTTTAAATGGATAAAATAACATACATAAGATTACAAAAGCAGTCAATTACGGTAAATAGTTACCAAAAAATAAAAATAAAACCATTGTGATTAGTAATATATTCACTTTTTAAGATGAGCACATTAAATAACAAGGAATCAATCTATAGTTCTTTTATAATAAGTAACATGACTCTGATGAGCATAAATAATATTTGGTGACATCTGCAATGACTGTTTTATAATATGAAAACATCTGAGATTTATATGGAAGAAAAATCAAAGTTACTATTATCATGTCTATGTGTTGTACATTATATTTGAAAGAAATGCTAGATTTCAGTCAGTTAAAAAGGTAATGTAAGGAATTTACTTACAAAAGAAAGTAAATTTTTCCTATTCAAATTCACAGAACATCTGAATTCTAGGGGTTATGGGACCCCTTAAGAAACTTTACTTTAAGGAATTGTTATGTTTTGTATCTTAATATTAAAAATAATGGGTCAAGAATACAAGATTACTAACTAAACCAGCCCTCCAGTGTCAGCCAGCCAGCACTGCAATGCATTTCTAATTTCAGTAATAGCATTTTTAATTTCTAGGAATTTTATTTTATTTTTAGAAATATGCATGGTAGTTTTGTTCCTCATTTCCTATTATATTTTTAGACCTATTTCTTTCTGTAAAAAAAAAATCACATTTATATAATACTTTGTTGATTAAAATTTATTATTTCCACTGGCTTTAATTGATTGGGGCTGGTTTTATTGGGTGTCCTATTAGTTTTGATTGTCGTTTCATATCCACCTTTTAAGTGAGAAAATTCTCAGGAGTAAATCAATTATTTTCTTTTACTGTCTCTGCCCCATTCTGTTCAATTCATTTTCAGTGTTTTATTTCATTTTAATCAAGTCGCCTCATGAGGTTCCTGCATTTCAACTTGCCACAGTGGACTGATGAGCTCCTTGCTCCGGGTCCTGAGAGCTTTGCAGGTGTCTCCCTTTCCTGCAATATTCTTTGTAGAGATTAGTCAAAACAGAAATGTGATCTTAGGCATTTCTTCTACTGTGCAGCTGACCATGAAGCAAAGTAAAAGGGCAAACTATTTATAAGTCAGGCCGTTACAGGTGCAGAAAATAGATAAGAGTTCAGCTTTGTCCAGGTTGGCAGACCATTCTTACTGAATTTCCTTGTTTGGGTTGTTTTAGTGTAGTTTCAAATTTATGGACAGGTCTTGGAATAAAAAAAAAAAAAAAAAGTACCTGAGCTGAACTTGGTCCTACAGAAGCTGCTTGAGAAGTCTCATTATCAGTTCATACCACTGGTTGATGTTTTTGTCCATTCAACAACTGTTTTAAAAGTACCTGCTATTAAGCATGCCAGAAAATGACAAAATTATCAGGGAAAACAAGGAAATCAATAATATGTAAGAATACTTGCTAGGATTGACATGTGGAAACAGCCTTGGGAGCATTCAGCAGAGAACAATTGTCTCTGGTGGGGACAGAGATGGCTCTCTTATTCCCCAGTACCCCCAGATGCGTCTTCCTCAACATTTTTTTCTCAATTCATTCTTTTTCTCCAAGTCTGGATTTATATTTACTAAATATTAATAGATTTTACTAATTATTGTTTAGATTAAAGAGCATTTTGTTCCTCCAGGGAGAGAGAGGTCTGTTTCTACCTCCTCCTCTGTTCTCTCACTTGATTTACTTTAGGTGTTTTCACATTCATGAATTTAGGAATCCAAGTTTTGTTCCTGAAATGCTCTATTTAATATATTCAATTCCAACAGTTCTTAGCTGCTCATCTACTTTTGTTTGTTTGCTTGTTTATTTATGCCCTATTTGCTTGTATTTTATTGCCCAGGGACAACTTCTTAAGTTACAAAAATAATGAATAGACCAGTCCTGGGTAAATTACTTGTTTGATCCTCCTACAAATCCACTATTTTTTTTTTTTTTTTTGGAATTTTTTGTTTGCTTTTTTCATATGTGAAACTTTTCCCAATTCTTTCAAATACAAGGGTTAGATTTTACACACACACACACACACACACACACGTGTGTGTGTGTATAAATAATGTACATGTCATTGTACACAGAATTATTATATATGTCACTGTATACAGAATTAAGCTTCGTCTATTTTTAGATGTAAGATATTAATATATACAAAATAATATTAATAGAATAAATATTGATTTTCCAGAGGTCTGGCTTTTTCTTTTTCTTTGGATTTCTGCAATTGTATATTCATTTAGTTTTAATTTCAATAGTAAAAAATATTCCAAACTATCTTTGTTTCTAGCACTTTGCAGGCATGGGGTTCTACACAAACTCATGAGGTTTAGACTTTGCTGTGGAGGATGAGAAAACATGCTGCTCGAATACATCAAAAACCAGGTCAGGTTGCCAATTTATAATTGAGACCTTTATTTAAGGACTGTGAATCATCTATTACTTTTGTTACTGATTCGAATTTCTGCCTTGGAGCATTCAGCTGCTCCAACAGACATGTTGGATTTTCAAAAAGTTTGAGTAAGGGGCTGGAGTTGTGACTCAGTGGTAGAGTGCTTGCCTGGCATATGTGAGGCCCTGGGTTTGAATCTCGGCACTACATATAAATGAATAAAATAAAGATCCATCAACAATTTTAAAAAAATCATTCTTAAAAAAAAAAAAAAGATTGAGTAAGAAAGTACTTGAACAGGGGCTTAAGGCAGTGCATTTGAGAAAGTTGTTTTCCCTGTAAGGGAACAAGCCACTATCTCCTGACCCCAGGCAAGGGGTTTTGGATACAATGAGGAAATCTGTTGATCTTTGCAGCCTGTGATCTCTGAGTGGGACTGAATTGAGTTGAGTAAATATTTATTGAGAGCCCACTAATTAAAGCCTCCAGCTTCTGCAGCAGGGTTGGTCCAGAGGTGGGCTCTAATAATGGGAAGAGGAGCCATCGGAAGAGATAGAAGTAAACTCACAGGGACAAGAGAACACTAGAGGCTCAGGGACTGTGTGCTTTAGGGGAAAGGAAGTTGATAGGCAATTTCTGAAGGAGCTGGAAATAGCATGACCTACATGTCATATGTACATCTTGGCTTTTCATCCATAGTTGAGTCAGGCTCTGATACGCTGGGAGTGCTCTACCAGCAGACACAGAAACCTTAAGAGTATTCTCCATCTGATCCTTGGTTATGATATGATCAGGAGGGAGCAGTTTGAATTGTAGTGCTCCCTGAAGACTTCAAATTGAGGTCTGCTGAGGAAGTTCTGTCCTGGAAGGTTTGAGGGCTCGTGAGAGGCCATGACCTGCCCAGGTCCCCATCTATCCTCCAAATCCCAAAACACTCTCATTTGTTTCTTGTGGCACTTCAGGTTACCTATGGAATACAAACACCATGTGGGTACACGCTCTTCTACTTTGCAATGATATCCATTGAAGGCAGGAAATATGGTTTTGAAGGTCCTTTGGCTAGTTGGCTTCATTTTGGGACTTCAATCACTTTCGAATTTCAAGACAATGCAAAGATAACCTGTCATCTATTGATAGAAGAAAATCATGGGTTGGGGAGATATTCTTTATATCTGTCACAATTTTAGCATTTTTATGAAGGTACTAGCAGTTATAACCCGAGGAGGCCTTCAGTGGCTGGGTCTAGGTCAGTGATTTTCAAATTAGGTTTGAACAGGTGGGAGTAGGGGTATAGAAGTGTCAGTGGGAGGTTGGACCCCATGAATCCTAAAGCATTTAACTTGTGTTCCCTCTCTCTCTCCTTCCGCTCTCTGCTTTCTTTATAACAAATATACCTTAAGCACCTACTATGTGCTCACCTACTATGAGGACTCTGTGCTCATTCTTGTCAAGAGATGTAAAAATACATGGTCTTTCTTTCTCTGGGATTTGAAGGTTTTTTCCTCTTTTTCTTCTTCACTATTTTTTAAATGAAAATCTCTATGTCATTTGAGTACATAAAAAAAAGTATTTTTCTGACTCAACTGCTTCAAACTAGATTTGAATAAATTAGTTCATGATAGTCTTTAACATGAGAAAAATATTTTATTTTGGACGAAGCACATCACATCCTGTTTCCAGGTAGCTTCTATCATTTGGCAGGCATAGTTTGCTGTCCTTGTTTTGTGTATGGTGACTCAAAGGCGGGGTAACTTCATAGTAGCTGGTCAAGACGCAGAATCTGAATTGGGAAGAGGAGTCTGCTGCTCTTCCTCTTGCATTATATTTCCTGCATGAACGTCAGGTGGAGCTGCCTGCTGGCATTCTTTTAAAACTCCAAAGTGACTGCATCAAGGGGCTGTTGTTTGAAATATTTTTAAGTTGTCTGCTTATATCCTTCCTCTATAAGAAAACGGAAATATGACACATAAATATAATCAAAGATGACGTGTACCTTGATCTGAACACATGTGAAAGGTTTTGATCACCATGTAACTACATTGATAACATTGCAAAGTTGTTTATTTTTTGTTAGGGCTTTTAGGGATATAGATTCAAAAAGTCTGGCATTGTTGACATTTACTTTACTTTAAAATTCATTTTTGGAAAAATCCAAACTCCCCAGTTTTATTGTACTGCCATAGTACTTATTGATTAGTTATTATGTACCAGGCACTGTTAACATATATTACCCTTTAAACTGTCACAATAATCCTGTGAGAAAAATAATATTATTGTCAGCTGCAGTGGCACATTCCTGTAATCCTGGTCATTCAGGAGGCTGATGCAGGAGGATTGCGAGTTTGAGACCAGCTTCAGAAATTTAGTAAGACTGAGTCTTAAAATAAAAATTAAAAAAATCTAGGGAAGCAGTTAGTGGTAGAGCAACCCTGGGTTCAATCTCCAGTATCAGGATAAATAAAGTAAAAGTAAGATTATTATCTGATTTTTATAGATAAAAAAATGGAGGCACAGAAAAGTTAATGACAATTCTAAGTCTATACAGCTAGCAAGTTGGAAAATTGGAATTTGAAGTTGGGTGGATTGACTCTAGAGCCTGTTTTTTTAACTGCAGAATTATTATGCTGTGTCTCAGCATGGCACTGATGAGACAGGTGGCCTTTCTTGAGTCACTTAATGAGTTTGGTCTTCAGATCCATTATTAAGAAAACAAAGAATGCTCTGGATACTTTATTTTCTGAACAGTATCCCTTGTTTTCAAGCATGCATTTCTGGACATAGGTATTATTTTTATCAACCTGATTTTACATACAGGGAAATTCAAACTTAGGTCAAGTAACAGCTAATGATGGCATTGTTGGTGTAAACACTGACATTTAAACCCAAGATTTTAATCAATATACATTACTATCTTTCCTTTTTAAGGACTTAGGCTGCCTTAAAATTCCATGTACTGAAGTCCTGGTTTTTTAAAGACACAATGGCAATATGTTTGTTTCATAATGCCTCTCATTTATAGTTCTTCCAAGTCTACACAAATAATAGCCGTTTTAACAATGAAACATTGTGCTATTAATATTATATTATTATTTCTTTGAGGAGTCACATTAGTGTAGCAAACAGGATGTAACCGGACATGTTAGGCAAGCTGTTGCTAACCCTGAAGACTATACCGGGATTAAATTCTCATTATTACTCACAGTTAGTCCCCAAATATCTGTGTATGTTCAGTTTCTCAGTTTCTTCAGTTTGGCAGGAAGTTTTAAAGAACCAAACAGCATGCCCTTCCGTCCTTGGCATATTCATAAGCTATTTTTGGGTGAGTCATCGGAATTCTGTGGTTTGTATATCCTGAAGGGAGAGAGGAGACACTGTATGGTTAGCATTTATTTGAAACAGCTTGTTTTGAGGGGGAGGGGAGTCCTTTGATAAAAGTTCAACATTAGGTAAGAAATGCCGGTGGAAGAACCTTCATTGTTGCAAAGATTCTGCTTGTGTTCCTGTCCCTGGGAATATCATGCAAATTCAAATATGCTTATGCTTGTTTCCAGCTTGACCCAGTGTGTGCAGAAGAACTGATCTGGTGTTTAGTTGAGGTAATTCTCAGAGAACAAACAATTGGCTTCGAACCTTAATGTCAATCAATGCTTTAAGTTGGATAGAGCTGTTGGTATATGAAAATATATAGGCTAAGCCACACCTCTAAGGTCCATTGGATAATATCACCAATATAATTGTGGATTGTGATAAAATCATTGTAATAAGAAAAAATGAATGAGAATTGACAGATCTTTCTTCTTATAGGCTCAAGGGAACCCCAAGGGAACTTTCAATAATTAAAACATATATATATATATATATTTTATATCTCATCAGGAAAAAGAAACTGATTATTAATGGAAGACAGAAGAAAACTCAAGTTAGTAAGTTAGTTTGGGTACTTAGTGTATATCAGATGTTGCAGTAAGTCCCCCAAATATCACAGAGAGCATTGAGATCTAGGGAAAATATTACTTTCATAAGCCTAAGAAAGCCTATGATCTCTAGCACCAATGGTCATAAGACAAGGATACAAGGAAAGGAAGGACTGCATTTAACACCTGTGCTCAGTTATAGTTATCCATTTGATTAGGAACAACTGATTGGTGACCAGAGACTGGCACTCATAGAAGACAAATGCACATTGCTCCCCAAATTAAGAGAATTAAAATGATGCCCTATTTTTAAATATATAGAGACACTACTATGTTGTTCTTAAAATGATTTTGCATGGAACACAAATTGGGTATTAAATAGCATTGAAATATATAACAAGAAAACTCTTTTAAATTCCCTCTTAGTTGTCTAATTCTGCCAAGTAGAAAGTTTCAGTTTGGTGTTAGTAAAAATTTGACTTTTCACGGAGCGATAATAATATATCCTAGACTTGAATAACAACTTATTCATCGCTCTTCCTTTTTACAGATGCATTTTATTTCTGGCAACTGAAATTGATTTTTCATTTACATAGAGTAGAGATTCAAATGTATTTATATGAAATATTAGTTATTTTTAAAATAGTAATTAAATAATAATCTATGTGGTGAGTTGAATAAGCAGAAGGCCCATCCTGAAAACCTTATAACTTTGATGATGAAGAGGAAGATGAGGGCTGGGGTTGTGGCTCAGGAGTAGAGTGCTAAGCACTAGGTTCAATCCTCAGCACCACATAAAAATGAAATAAAAATATTGTGTGTCCACCTACAAATAAAAAAATAAATATTAAAAAAAGAGGAAAATGATTCCATAAACAAAAACAGAAAACACAATTGTGTAAGACCAACATATTACCCAGAATAATCATCTTTAAAGTATGGAGCCCATAGATCAATGATGATGATCTGTGAGCTGTTAGCCCATCTGGAAGTAGATAAGTATAGAAATTCCAAGTAATCATTTAGAAACTTTTATAGCTTATTGATATGGTTTTGATATCCAATTATATGAAATGATTTCCAGTAACTTATTTTCAACATATTTTACAAAAGTATTATTCTGTGACGGATTAGGGAAAAGAAAACAATAGTTTGAGAAGCACTGAATTATATAGCATATGTTTAGAAGGAGAACATAACTAAAGAAAGTGATAGTGTAAGCAATTATGATAAAAAAATACATGCTGGTGGAAAGTACATGATTGTCATGCTATCTAGAATGGGAATAAAGAGACTAAATAATAGTACATTTGTGAGGATTGAGACTGTCTTGGTTTTTCACGGTTGTATCCTAAGGATCCAACATGGTTTTCAGCATATTGTAAACATTCCATAAATATTCGTAGAGTATCTAACTGAATAAATGCATCATGGTGATTGACAGGCAGGTCTAACACAATAACCAGAGGATTTGTGCTATTATAATGCAATAATTGTTCATCATGCTTTTCTTCATATCTCAAACACTCTTTATTCCCCTTTTCTCTCCATTTTACGTTGTTCTGGTTATATAAATGCTAAGTCAACTTAAGTCCTAATTAGTTTGTCAACATTTCCTGACTCCAAGAAGGTGGTGCCTTAATTTAAAACAAGTAATTTAAAATTTAGAGTTGTAGGGCTGGGGATATAGCTCAGTTGGTAGAGTGCTTGCCTCTCATTCATAAGACCCTGAGTTCAATCCCCAGCACCACTAATAACAAAATAAAACAAATTTAGAGTTGTATACCACAACAGGAAGCTTAGGTGGATGTGATGTTTTAGTAAAGAAACTACTTAAATATCTTAGTGGCTTAACCCAACAACTATTTTTCTTTCTTTCTCACACACATTCCACAAAAGTTGACAAAGGGCTTTGATTATTTCAATCATCTCAAATTGTTTTCATGATAACCATAGTAAAGGATGTGGCAAGTCAAAGTGCCTCTTTGAGACTATACCTGGATACATTTCATTTTTATGCATTTTTTATTTTTTCTTTCTTTCTTCTTCTTTTTTTTTTTTTTTGGACAGAACAATAGTTCATGTCTAATATCAGCAGGATGGGGAAATGTAATTCTACCATGCAATAGAAAAGTGGAGAGCCTATAATATTTGGTGGAGTATGCTAATAGCCAACATTTATATTCACCTATTATGAATTAAATTTATCAGAGTTCTTCCTTTACTAATTGATCATATGTGAGTGTACCAACAGCAATGAGTTCCATCCGTTTTAGATCTTTGGACTGAATTCTGAATGCAGTAATTCCATGGGCATAGTGCAACTTCTGCCTGACTTATCAGTTCACTAATTTAGCAGGTCCTTTTACTGTGCTTTGTATAATACTGATTCTGACCTATGCTCCTTTGGTTTGCATCCTATCTGCACCAACCTTCACTGCCAAATACATCTTCCCATAAGAAGGAAATTGATTTCCTTACATCTTAGCCAGAGAGATTTTTTTTTTCCTAGTGGCTTTTAAAAATGGCTGTGAATACAAGCTTTTTGAGGATATTCTCATTTGATGTTGTTAGACTGAATCAACTTCCAGGAAGCTGATCAATTCTGAGAAAAATCAAGCATATCAAGTTTTAGGAAACTTCTGAGCTATATAGACTCTTCATGCTATGTGAACTCAACATTATCAATCATCTTTTTATGTCTAAATTATCATCATTCCATTTGCCAATGTAATGTACTAGATATTTGTATATCTAGTACATATCTAAATTAGAAAGGGTATTTTTACTCTGTAAAGGAAAATGAAAATATCTCCACCCCCTTATGATTTTTTTTTTACAAATCTTACTCCATTTTATGAGAAAGGAGGATTTGCTTTAAAAAGATATCCTTTTCACAGATACTTTCAACATTGTTTTGACTTCCAAAATTAGTGAGAGCTGAATACAGGTGGGTGAAATCTGGTAGCAGACTTGAAAAGGTACTGACTTTCAGAACTGAAAATTAAATTGAAATGTCAAAGTTTGCCTCTGTCTACAAAAGACTTGAAGAGGTATGGGCTTGAGTTCTCTAAGTGTGATTGGTATAAGCAGTCAAGTCAGATTACTGAGCTTCTCCAAAGTCACTTTGAAGAGGCTTCCCCCTAGCCATCTGTATTAAACACATTAACAGTATCATTTCCAGGCCTTTACAAGATTGCAATGGTGGACGGAGACTAATCACCCAGGTGAATGATGAGGGAGGGATCTTTTATTACTCCTCCATCAGCTGTTGCACATCTAGACATGTAGCTAATCACTTATTAGCCTCTAAGTTTGGAGGCTGCCTTCAGGTGATAAGCCTCATAAAATGCTAATAAGGAGATGCCTTTGATAAGCTGGTAGATCATTAAATAGAGAAGTAACCAGTCTACTTATGATTTATGAGAATACTTTTTACCATGAAAGGTAAATTTCTATTTCTTTTTTTATTAGTGATATCCCTGCTGTTCCTTAATAAAATTAAATTTATACTATACAATGCAAAAAAGAGACTCCCCTTCCCCCCAGTTTCAGAGATTCTAGTTGAGCGGAAGTACTAAAATTCAGAGATCTCTTACAATTCTCAGAGTCTTAAGTTCCTTGAAATGAGGTCTGTGTCTCCAGAGTCAGCAGCTCTGATTGGCATAGCAAGTGCTCTGTTACTATTCATTGGCTGTGAGCATTATCCTGTTTTAAAAAATATATTATATAGACAAAATATTACTGAAACATAAGAGGTTAAGTGCATCTTTAAATATCAAATGTATCCTTCCTGTTCCTGTTTTAGGACCTTAGCACTTAACATTTCTTCTATCTGGAATGCCTTTCTCTGAGACATTCCTGTAACCTGTTCCTTGATGTCTTTAAATGTCACCTCCTTAGAAAGATTTTACCTGGCCACATTATCTATAGTATCACCTCCCACCCTCTCTGGCTCTGCTGTTCTGTATAAAATGGAGCAGTACTTACACATTCATTTGTCTACCTACTTATTGTCTTTATTAGAATGCAAACCCAATAAGATAGGATGATAGTATAGGAAGAATGTCATATTGTCCAGCTCTAGAAGGCTGGATCACTGACTGACAGTATGTCTTATGAAACCCTTGGCAGAACTGCTCTACCAAGCTGCTTCCAGATTCCTGATACTTTGGAACTGGGAACAACTTTGTCTATTTTAAGCAGCTAAATTTAGGGGTAATTTGTTATTTGGCAAAAGATAATTAACAAAATGTCATTTTGTGTATCTACTCTAATTTGGATCATTAAACCTTTTTCATCTGTCCTCTTCTGGTCTCTTAACCTATCATTTTCAACTCTGCCTGTGAAGCATTAAATATAATTTAATTGGATCA